CAGCGATCATGTCCCCCGGCCGCTGCAGCGATCATGTGCCCTGGCCGCTGCAGCGATCATGTCCCCCGGCCGCTGCAGCGATCATGGCCCCCGGTCGCTGCGCGGCCCGGTGCCAGGTACTCCACGGCCCGGCATTGGTCCGCAGACCGGGGGTTGGGGACCACTGGTCTAACCTATACAGAGCATGCTAGCTGAGGAATTCTGGGAGTTGAAGTCCACACATCTTAAATTTGCTAAGGTTGAAAAATTCTGCTTAAAGTGTGCTGAAGAATAGACTACTGTATTTCTTTGGAGCAGGGCAAAATAGACTGGTATTTTCTTTTCACTAGCAGAGAAGGAAACAGGTTTAAATCCTGATGTTTGAACTGTATATCTGTAAAAATGAAGGAAAGCTTGGGGGCTTTCTAAAGAATTGTTGTGTTAATTCTCTCATGTCTCATAATAACTAGGGATATTGGTTTCAGACAGCGGTGGGTTTCACATTTTGTTACCACCAGTTTGCCCAGGGCTTACCCACCCACTTCGCACACCTGTGCCAGCTTTACAAGCGCATGTACCCCTTCCATACATGTGCCTGGCTTTTCCGTGCATGTGCCTTGCTCATGTGTGTGCCTTCCGCACATGCACCCAGCATCAAAAACGTGCCTAAATAGGATGGCATAGAGCCGGGGCGGGTGGGTGATTTCCTCTACCAGTTCGGGTGTACCAGTCCAAATTGGCTGAATACCACCTCTGGTTTCATAAAATGTAAGAGTTTGTGTAGTTGTGTGCAAATTTTTAAAAGAGAGGGACATCCCCCTCCTTTTTTATTACGTAGGAGTAAACTATCTAGGTACAAAATGACTTGCCAAAGATCCATGGGACTTTTTTCTTTTATAGATGGAGGTGGTTTTACTATCTACAGTAGTGTTCCATCCTTCCTTTGTTCACTAGCATTTGGGAGGAGGTGTGCAGATGCTTTATATAGCTGCTTGCATACTTTTTTTTGAATTGCAAAATAGCTATTGTTTTTCATTTGGAAATGTGTTGTGTAGTTTCCCCGCTCCTCCTGCTTATCTTCTAATCTTTCCTACTCCGTATAGAACATTTTTCCTAGGTATATACAGAGGGGGCAGTTATCTGTAAATGTAGATTGAAAAAGAGAAACCTGGTTGAATTCTACCAGATGGAGAGATTTAATTTGGGGAATTTAATGAAAGGGAGTCTTGCATTTGGCTTCTCGTGTTGAAAACTACATATCTCTCACTGTCCTTAGCATTAAAATAAGCCTTTATTTTATTTATTTTATTAGAGGGATGCGGTGGCTCAGTGGCTAAGACACTGAGCTTGTTGATCAGAAAGGTTGGCAGTTCAGCGGTTCAAATCCCTAGCGCCGCATAATGTTACTTGTCCCAGCTTCTGCCAACCTAGCAGTTTGAAAGCATGTAAAAATGCAAGTAAAAAAATGGGAACCACGTTTGGTGGGAAGGTAACAGCCTGTGAGCTTTCGGCATTTAGTCATGCCAGCCACATGACCACGCAGATGTCTTCGGCCAGCACTGGCTCTTTGGCTTTGAAACGGAGATGAGCATCGCCCCCTAGAGTCAGAAACAACTAGCACATATGTGCGAGGGGAACCTTTACCATTATCTTTTTTGTTAAAATAGAGTAGTTGGGTATAATCTTCTGTGCAGTACCGAATACTGTCTTTGCATGAAAGGATGATGCTTTCATATATTTGAGGTGGACTCTTGCTCATATGGCAATCATGATTTTGAGGCAGGAAAAAGATGCACAGAGCATGTCTAGAATTATCTCCAAATGCTTCTCCCTTGGATCACCCCCTCCCAATAGAATAGAATTCTTTATTGGCCAAGTGTGATTGGACACACAAGGAATTTGTCTTTGGTGCATATGCTCTCAGTAAAAGGAAAAAAAGAAAAAAATACATTCATCAAGAATCATAAGATACAACATTTAGTGATAGTCATAGGTTACTAATAGAAATCAAATCATACTAGTAAACAAACAGAACAATATAAATTGTAAAAAATACAAGCAACATGGTTATAGTCATAAGTGGGAGGAGATAGGTAATAGGAAGGATGAGAAGAATAATAGTAATACAGTCTTACAGTGAATAGTAAATAGTTTTACAGTGGGGTGGGAATTAGTTGTTTAGCAGAGGGATGGCATTCGGGGAAAAACGGTCCTTGTGTCTGGTTGTTCTGGTGTGCAGTGCCCTATAGTGTCGTTTTGAGGGTAGAAATTGAAACAAGTTATGTCCAGGATGTGAGGGGTCTGTAGATATTTGAACAACCCTCTAATCTAATCTGTACACTAATCTATACAAGGTGTATTCACAGGGCCAGCTATTATAGGTTTTGCTTCAGATATCAGCATATATATATTGCGACAGAACTCTGGAAGACTTGTATTACAATATTATAATAGAGCAGCCAAAATATTTGGAATGGATATAAGGATGCAATGAAAAACAGTAGAATAGAAAGTATGTAAGGATCCAAATTCAGGCTGTTATATTGACACATTGAAATGGAAAGATAATGGAAGATTTATCACAATAAAACATTAGATGGGAACAATTGATGATGTTCCATCATCACCTTTATCTCAAAGAAAAAAAAGAAAAGAAAGTAAACATAGTGACATAAACCATATTCAACCAGAACTGCAACTCGGTACCGTAATTGCCTGGTTTATGGTCTGTTAATCCATTGCTTATAACTTACCGCTATGAGGACTTGGCACTTTTTAGGAAGAAAAGATATTTGCATCTGGTGGCAGCCTCTCAATTTTTTAGAAGCATTGGAATAGGAAAGGGATGAGTAGAGTGACCAGCAATGCTATGTAAGCTATTTAAAGGCACAGGGGGGCTATTTAAAACCTGTCCACCGATTCAGCTGAGAAAGCCAAACTAGGTTTCATGGAGTTCCTGGAAATGCTGATTCAGAGGGTCTAGCAGCTAAGAAGCCATCACAAACTAGAAAAAAAATGCCTCTTTACTTGGAAGAGGAAATAGCAGAGAGGTGGGGGGAGGGGACCACAGTCTCATCCTTAACTCTCCCTCATTATTGCCAGATTGTGACTACTTTCTTCTTTGTTAAAATTCTGGTAACAGTCACTCAGGAGATGATTAGATATGACAAGCATCTTCTCGGCCCTTCTGTTAATTCAAACTGTGGGATAGTCAAAACTCCTGTATAATTGATTGACTGTTTTAGTAGATATTCCCCCACCATCAGGAATTAGTTCACTAACCTTTTTTATTTGTTTATATTTATTGTCAAATGTATGCAGCCATCCAAAACAAGTGACTTCAGACAGAATACAACAAAGCTAGTTAATTAGTGAATGCTAAACAGCAACCACTATTTTTATTATTATCATTAAAAACATTGCTAGCTATAAAAAGGAAACTAAAAAGAGGAACTGTTGGGCAAATGATTGTTAATAATAACAGAGACACCTCAATAATTCACCTGGAATCTCCAGGACTGATGGCACAATCAGGCCTTGAGACGTCTTCAGAATATCAAAGGTGATGAAACCAACCTGACTTCAAGGGGGAAAGATATTCCATAACAGGTGCAACAGCAGAAAAAGCCGGCTGCCTAGGGCCCACCAAATGTAGCTCACTAGTTGATCGAATCCATGCCCTCTCTTCTGGATCTAAGGAGACAGGTAGCTGTAATGGGGAAGATAACTCTGTCACCTTCATGTTACTCATC